CTTTTAAAAATATGTTATTAATTAAAAGTGCTTAAAACTAGATTGAATCACAATAAACTAAGTATCCCTCGGTTAGGTCAGATCTATATGAAACTTGATATTTATGCTCATTGGCATAAAATCAAACACCTATTTCAGCATTTTAAAAAATTAGACCTCTAAAAGGGGGTAAAAAGAGGTTGTAACGTTTATATGTAACATTTTATTTACAGTCAGATTTACTTGAAACTTAGTTTTAATACCCTTTCATACAAAATTAGTTTTATACATATTTCAACATTTTAAAAAATTCAACCTCTGCAGGAAGCTGAAAGGGGTTTACAAAGATTGCATGGAATATTTTTCTTTCTGGTCAGATTTACATGAAACTTGGTCTTAATGCTCTCTCATTTAATTTGTTAAACACCTACCTCGGCATTACAAAAAATTCAACCACCAACAGGACATATTTTATTTGTGGTTAAATTTACTTGAAACTTGGTATTTACGCTCTTTGGTATAATTAATCAAATGAAAAGAGGGTGCAACTTTTTCACGAGGTATATTTTATTTGTAGACGGATTTAATCGAAGGTTGCTCTTAATACTCATTGTTGAAATTAAGCAATTTATAAAAATCAACCCTTAAGGATGAAATGCTGTTGCTACGTTTGTATTTGAAATATAAGATGGCGACATTACATTAAAACTTTGTGGGGATGAATTGGGAGTTAAAAGGCTTTATCAAGAAAGCATATTAATTTCTGCAAGTGCAGTCGCGGGGAAAAGCTCGTAAGTAATACAAATACTCACTATCTAAATATTTACAACTGTAAATTATCTTCTGTAAGTGTTTCATATTCTTAAAGAGTATGACAAAGGTCATTACTTATCTATTCATTGCTACTTGCTACCAGAAGAAGTGTATTAGTAGTGAACGAATTGTAACAAGAATAATATAATAATATAATACGGTGTTTTTATAATATAACAATTATAATGTTGTTAATTTAGTATGGTAAAAAAGATAAATAATTTTGTAACGAAAAATTATATTTTTTGTTTCTTGTCCTTGACAGTCTCCAGCACATACGAAGTCAATTTCAGAAAAGATCTTCACAATAGGTTTCCTTTCGCTCTACTTTTTGAACGAATGAAATTTGTTCTTTATTATACGTATGGCTTTTTTGTACGTATACAGGTACGGCAAAATATTGACCGAACATACGAATGACAGAGTTATCACCTACTTGAAATGAAAAAACGGCTGAGGGTATTTGTATGAATTTCCCTATTTCATATCATATTTTCCAAAGGTAATGCCGTTCTTTGCTGATTACATGTAGTAGAATCCTTGTGTTCGTTTCTCATTTCGCCACTAGTGTATATAAAAACATCGCTGATTCACTCAACGTTTACATTTCAGTTAAATTGGTACAACCAACAAAAAAATTAAATGTATAATTAAAACAACTCTTGTGCAATATGAAAATATGTTTATTTCATAGAGATTACCTGTTTTTGAATAGTTACATTTCAAGCTCACTGATAAATGAATAATTAGTTTGCTTCAAATGTTAAAAGAGCATGAAATGTTAGCGTAAGTAAAGATTACTCAACTGCGTTTATGTTAAATTGCGGAAATTATAAAAAGCACAAAATTGCAGATATACTAGTTTATGGAATTTGATAGTTTAATTCTATTTTGTGTCATAAATATTATTGATTTTCTCTTTGCAATGCTTCAAAATAAAAAAAAACCATAATAAATAGAATTTCACAAATTTTAAACGAAAATGAAAAAAAAGTTGATGAACATTGTTATATGTATTGGTACATTTGATTCGAAATTTGAATTAGACGACGGATTATTATTCGTTAAAACAAATAATTTAAAAAATTCAACATCTTTTACTTTTCGAACAATTCGGAAAACAATTATTCTTTATCTTTTGGAATAAATTGGAATATGCTGAAAAAACTCATGAATTAAAATAATGCGTGGTATTTAATCGATCAAAAGTGGAATCAAGTAAAATCAAGAAAATCGAAAATTCTGTTCTTTTCGAGTATAACATTTTCTAAATTTTTATAAAATCCATTATCTTTAATTACACTATACCCACCTAGGAAAAGGATTAAATATCCTCACATCCCATTATAAAATAAAAATACAAACAAACCTGAGTATCGTTGAAAGTACAATTAATTTTTTGCCAGGTAAGGTAATAGGTACAATTACAGCCGGGTATATTGCAAATGCTGTCTGTTGCGTCCCTATTGATAAAATCCGGCACCGACAGCACCACACATACACCACCCACTAACAAATAAAAGGGGAGCAACAAATACCATCCCGCGCCCATTTTATCACTGTCATACTTTCACTTCTTCGGTCATAATATTAAAAAAATGTTCGAGTTATCGGCGCACGTTATCTCACCATCTTCATCGAGCCATTAGCGACACTAAACTTGGTCATCGTCCGTTATTGTTATTATTTCTATTGTTGTTTTGTAGGCTGCAAAACAATGACTGAACAACTGACTATCGCGTTAAACAACAGTTTTGTTGTTGTGTTGTCTGAAAACCGAATCACACAAGTCACGAACTAAAACGAGTGCGTCTATTAGAAGCGACAATGCAGTCGGTAACTGACTCGTACGCTCGTATTCCTACTTAAGGCCCAGATAACTCTCCCGAGTCTGTGAACTCATGACGTTCCGATGTTACATTACTTATAAAACCACGTACAAACCTTCAGCCTCCACATCCACACTGCTGACTGGCTTGGGGTCTAGTCTCCATTCGTTTTCTTGCTTCTTGTAGGCTCTTTTGATGATGTTACCGAAGAAGTTAATCAACAGTGGTGGAGCCAATAAAAGTGGAACGGCACATATGTATAATAATCTCAAAATTCAACTTTTTTGATGTCTATTGAAGAAAGTTGAAAGTTGAGTATCTTTACAAATCATGCAATTTTCTTAAAGAAATGGGTACGAAAGAAATCCAATAGAAGTGCTAAAGATGTCACGTGTGATAACATAAAGCAAAGTCATTACAAATCAACCACATCTTTTATTACAGTTTGTATTAAATGCATCAAATAAAGTACGAAATGCTAACTCGACTTTGATACTCGAGTATTAGTTGTATAGCATGATGATTTTATCAAGAATTCTTTTATAGTTTTGGTCTTTTGGTGATGTAAAAACGATTGCGATGATTACTTACATTTTCAGTCAGTTTTTTAGTGAAGAGCAAGGTATTTTTATTTATGTTTCATGACTTTGGAAAAATAATAAACAACTTCTAATTACTTTCCTTGCATGTCTTTTCAGTTAATAACTCGTATTATTTGCGTTTCGCATTTATTAACAAATAATATCCAAGTTTAGGCAATATATCGCCATCTATTGGTGTTTTACTGATAGTGAATTTAAAATAAACGTTCTTATTAATGAATGACTATGTGCCTAGCTTATCTGAGCAAATAAAAGTATTATTTGTCTATCACTAATGACAAATTTTATTAGTAAAGTTTAAAAACAATATAAGAATATAGTAATTTTTTTAATAGTTTGCATATTATCTTAACTTTTTAATTATTACTTATTGAGTCCATCATTGGATATATAGAATTATTTGAATTAATATATGCGCTATAATTTCTTATAAATATTCGGATTGATACGCTACTGGAGGACCAATTAAGGGGACAATTCCGTTTGGCAAGCGAAGCTGGTCGCTTCTGCTTTCGAAAATGAACCTGTTCGTTTCTTTTTTAGTTCCCTCTGGAAGACTAGCCTCGAGGTCTCCGGTTGCGCCTGCACTCTTGCACAAACGGAGCCCATTCAAGGAATATTGTAGTAGCTTTCGACTTAAGTATCAATCGGTGATATTGTGAGAAACCAGTTTTGAAATGACCAAGATATATAAAGACTTCCTTTAATGCAACAACCCATTTTGTTTGAAAGAGAACGAACAGGGTGAAACATTATTATTTCCTTCAATGAAGCTAGTTAAAAAAATAATAACAGGAAACCTGTTTATTACCCTTTTCATCCTATAAAAATAATTGGCATATAGAGCATAAAGCGTTTATGATTAGTGATTTCATCCTTGATCATTTACTGATCGTTTTTTTTTTTTTAAATATGTACTTTTTAACAAACCATTGATTCACCAGGGCGCAGATTTTCGATTATAAAAAGTATTAAAAATCGTAAAATTATTTAAGGGTGGCATCTCAAGGACAGGAAATGACGAACACACCCTTATTAGGAGCAGGTATAAAACGTATGGGTTTATGTATGTGTGTTAACGTTCGAACAAGTGTTACATTAGAAACAGCCCTTTGTTATCTCTTATAATATAGGGATATACTTTTACCCACAGTGTTCCATCTTCACGGTGGTCTTTGCATGTTGTAACTTGCAACAAAATTGTACAACTTATGGATTATTAATCAAACAATTTGAAAAGTTATTAACTATTACGAATATGAATGTTAATTAGTTTCTTTTACCTATTTATTCAAGAATTTTCTTAATCAAAATTTTATGTCAACATAAAGTATTTTTCAAAAAAAGATTAATTTTTGAACACGATAATTAATTAACAATGTTTATTCATTAGGCATCTGTATTAGGCAAATATTATTTTTTTAAAATTGGCTTTCATTTGCAATCTTGAAATAATTGTGATAAACAAAAAATGTTTATCTAATAAGTATTTATGTTAAAACTTTTTACAGTTTTCTTGTTGGAATTTTATATTATAATTGTAGTATGAATTATAACATAATTTGCAGTTCTCGATTTATGCAAGCCATTTTACTCATCAAGGCGATGTGCTGTCTAGCAAGAACTAAAAGCTTTTGTATTTTGAAAAGTAGCTACTTTGAGCATGATTTCTGCAGTAGTACCTATAATATTGGATCTTGTTTTACTGTTAATTTCACAAAACATGATTAAACAAAAAATAAAACAAATGATTAATATAAACGTGCACTTTTCAAAGAAGGTGTAGATAATACATGTATAGGAAATGCATGCATTGCACAAACTCTAATTACATTTGTACAAAGTAAAGAATATTAAATAAAAAGTTTTCTAGGTTTTTTTATTAGNTCTATATTATCTAAAAAAAAAAACATTTAATTATACCTTTAGATGCTGGGTACACCTGGAAATTCAAGTGATTAACAAATACAAAATTATCTGTACGTATTTCGTTGAGTATTTACAGGCTTTCATGGCAGGCATATATTTAAAACGGAATACTTTTTCAGTTAATCGAAACAAGACAGTCCTATGGACCATGGAAAATAATTTATTTTTAGCATTCGTACTTTGTTATCATAATAATAGACTAATTTTAACTGCTTTTGACATTTTTTTTATATGTAAAAAAGGTAACTTCTTACGTATATAAAATGGTACATAGTTGGAAAATTTTACACATTTATTTGTACGGTGGGCGTTTCGCAATACATACGTAAGCTTCTTCAGATGAAATAAAATATTTACCAGTAACATATTACTATGGTAAATAGGGGCTTTTATAACAATAACAGAATTATTCCGTTTCGTCTTAGCAATCTTACAAGTAAAATGTAAAAAACTTCTTTTGTTTATTTATCTCTTAATTTTCTTATAATGTTAATTTATAAGCTTTGTTCTTTACATGTAATGTCTCAAAAGTTTTGTTAAAACAATACCCGTCATTGGTCATATGATTTTATATAACTGTTTCTACGTTCAGAAATTTTTTTTTATTGTGACATTCATTAAAAAATATTATAATCTATTTTTTTGTTACGCGAATAGGTATTTACAGAAACAAGGGTTCTCAATCTGCGTCAGCCCCTAAACGGGTTAAAACAGTTGCTAGCAGACAGGTTTTTTATTTTGTACTTCTTTTGTTATTATAGTATGTACAATGTACATTATTATTTTAATTCTGATAACGCAAGAGTGGCTTTAGGGGGGATGGCAACACTACTTGTCTCTGCTTGAAAATTAACGCATTTTCAGGGACTTATAACTGCTGCTCATGAATCAATAAAGAAATTAAAACACATTGAAAATGCATGTACCAATGTTGATGTAAGCACGGAAGGGGGAGGTAGTAAAATCTATGTTTATTTTTGCTGACGAAGGGGTGGGAGGGTTAATAATTCCAAAAAATCTGCTTACGTAATACCTGAACGGCCCCGTAGGGTAGGTACTTATATTTAATATCTTGTCACATTTAATAATGTGGAAAGCTTTTTTTAAAATCTGCCACATACTTCGGCAATTATTTTAATTCTGATAAACAGTGGCATTAGGGTAGATGGCCATCGCGACTTTAAAGAAAATAACTGGTTCATCGATTTTTAAACCAGAAAATCAAGATTATTCGCCATTGTTTTTAGCGAATCAGTTAAGCTTAACAATAGAAAAAGTTGTAGGTATTCTTTAAGACTGAAAATGCATCGTCATTAATAAACTCGTAGAAGAACAGTTAGATTAAAGTAGTAGTTACGAAATCGTAGGAAACCTGTTAGTAATATGCCTACCTACTCTATTACCTTGAAGACAGTATTAAAATCGTAATTTACAATATTATTCTTCGAAACTAATGCTAATCTTTATTAATCATGTTTTTTGACTTCACCATTGAAACAGTATTTTTAGGTGTTTTTTATTAGACCAATATATTAACGAACTTACTAACAATTTGCTTTTAATAATTAATGACAGTTATACAAATCATAAATGAGCTATTACCTACTGAAGGAATCCTATAAATGTCAATAATATATTCAGCAATAACGACATAATTCGCCTAATTATTCATAATGTGTATTCATTGATAAATATTACTATTTCTTTTATGTCACAAGTAACTATCTCATTATATTTTATTAGTCATGCCGAAATTCCAAAAATAATTCACAATAACGATTAGAAAATTTCACTTCCTAATTAAATTCATCCGTCCAAAATTTTTTCTGTGCAATGGAAATTTATGAACTTTACACATTAGGTATTACTAATAGTTTTACTACAATGTTTCCTACTTATTTAAAATGATTTACATTAAAAGTGAAAGTTTTACTCTGTTTAATTCGAGATCTTATATAGACGCATTTATTTGTGTATTATTAATTTACTTTAGAAATATTTTTATTAATTTTGAATATGTTTTTTTCACTTTGTTTTATGTTTAGCAATTAAACACACTAAATAACTGATGCCATTAACTTAGATGCTACTGATGGCTTTTTCTTTCATACCTGATTTTCTGATAAAATAGCACTGCGAAGTGCTTTAATTCATTAAAATAAATTTAATAAAACTAGATATATAACTAATAAAGATCTTTACAGAATTCAAGTGAATTTAGAATAAAATTTCAGCTATTTATTACTATGACACGATTAAACTCGAACTAACTTGTAGCTTGAAACTGATTTCTTTTGCATTATCTTTGTCAAAGCTGTTCAAAAGCTGTTGTTTCGCACATTTTCCTGTATTCCCTTTTGTCCTCGTTGATAGTAATTCTAATTTTATGCGAAGATTAGATCAGGATAGGAAAAAGTGGAAATGCGTGTCTAACCAATCTTAGGACTGACGACCTTTTGGTGATGATGATGAACCAACTATTAAATTTTCATTTCTCATTGTCCCAAGGGATTATTACAAGAACATCAAATCTAGGTAAAAGGTAAGAGATATGTTTTGTTATAGCAAACTCCTGTACCTACATTTATTTGTTATAACAAAATATATTGTTTACCCTTTATTTGGCTTTGATGTTCATTAAAAAATATTTTAAATTTATAAGAAAAACTAGTC